GAGTCCCCAAGAGCTCCCACCGTCTACCCACTGAGGGCACTATCTCCGCCAACTGATCCAGTGATAATGGGTTGCCTGATTCAGAATTACTTCCCATCCGGAGCTATGAACGTGACCTGGGACAAGAGCGGGGAGCACATCGCCACCATAAACTTCCCACCTGTCCTGTCTGGAGGCCTGTACACCATGAGCAGCCAGCTGAGCCTGCCAGCCGAAGAGTGCCCAGAAGACACATCTGCGACATGCTTCGTGCAACTCGACTCCAACCCCGTCAAAAAAGCGACAGTGCCCTGCCCAGGTGGTAAGCCCATAGGTGAGGGTGTCAGGTGGGGGCTTAATTAAGTGCTACCCTAACCTGGTATCAGGACCCACATTCCCCGCTGAAGCACTCCCCCATGGGGAACCCCCACTCGGAAGCCTCCAGAGTGACCTGTCTGGCCAGCCGGTAAGGGAGGTAGGGTGTGGACAGGCCATGAGGAGACAGGCCTCAGGACATCCAGAGGAGGGGACAGCAAAGGAGAAAGAGAGAGTATACTGATTTGCTACGCCTTCTCGGTTATAGAAAAAAACTGCAGCCCCCGCCTGTCACTGCACCGGCCAGCGCTTGAGGACCTGCTTCTGGGTTCAGATGCCAGCCTCACATGTACCCTGAGTGGCCTGAAAAACCCTCAAGGAGCCGTTTTCACCTGGACGCCCAGCACTGGGAAGGACGCGGTGCTCAAGGAGGCTGTGCGGGACTCCTATGGCTGCTATAGTGTGTCCAGCGTCCTGCCCGGCTGTGCCGAGCGCTGGAACAACGGGGAGACCTTCACGTGCACGGTGACTCATCCTGAGTCTAAGACCTTAACTAAAACAATTGCCAGAGACAAAGGTGGGACATCATACGACACTCCAAGCTCGCACACCTGCCCCCTCCCTCTACCACAGATGCTCAGCTGCTCCCACCCTAGGTCGGAGAGGGAAAATAGGGCTCCATGAGGAACTGCCCAGAAGGGAAGAGGGAAGGACGGGGGGTCTTTGCTCTTCTGCTCTGAGCCGTAACTCTTCTACCTTCCAGGGAATACCTTACCACCCCAGGTCCACCTGCTACCGCCGCCGTCGGAAGAGCTGGCCCTAAATGAGCTGGTGTCCCTGACGTGCCTGGTGCGAGGATTCAATCCTGCAGATGTGCTAATACGCTGGCTGCATGGAAGCCAGGAGCTGTCCCCTGAGGAATACCTAGTGTTTGCACCCCTGAAGGAGCCAGGCGAGGGCGCCACCACCTTCGCCGTGACGAGTGTTCTGCGTGTGCCAGCAGAAGCCTGGAAAAAGGGAGAGCAGTACTCCTGCATGGTGGGCCACGAGGCCCTGCCCTTGTCCTTCACCCAGAAGACCATCGACCACAATTCGGGTAAACCCACCAGCGTCAACGTGTCTGTGATCATGTCAGAGGCGGATGGCATCTGCTACTGAGCCACCCTGCCCGCCCCACCCCTTAAATAAACTCTTGTGCTCATGCCAAGTATCCCTGCACTTCCATCAGTGCCTGTCCAGCACACTATCCTCAGGGTCCACAGAACACTGGGAGGGATCAGGGCCCAGGAGGGAGGAGCACCCACCGCCAAGCCTGTGAGGCCTGAGAGGCTTTGAAGGCCTTTCACGCCTACTGTGTGAGCTGTATACGTATCAATGAGTGCTTGTGGATGTGGGTGCCTTGGAGGGAGGGGCAAGTTTGTGTGTACCCGTGAGTATAGACGTACTTACATGGGTACGAGCGTGTGTGTGTGTGTGTGTGTGTGTGTGTGTGTGTGTGTGTGTGTGTGCCTGTGAGTGTGAGTGTATCTGTGTCCCTGTGAGCGTGCGAGTGTGTGTGCGACCTCGCATACCTGTGAGTGTGCACGTGTCTGTGTATGCTCACGTTGGTGTAAATGTGTGTGTGTGCCTGTGGCTGTGTGTGCCTGCCGTGTGAGTGTGCGTTAAGTGGGAGGTAAGGAGAAGCTAGGGATGAGATTTTAAGTGAGCGCGCTCAGCCAGGGCAGGCAAGGCTGGGGGACAGTCCCAAGAGCAACAGGATACTCTGAGTAATGGGTGGTTGGCTGTTTGTGCATTAGACTGCAGTCTCTGGCTCCGGCTCTGGCAAGGAATACAAGGGGCAAGAGTGTAGCAAGATCAAGGCTGGACCCTCAAGGGGCCACAATAGGGGCAGAGAAGGTAGGAAGGGCTGAATTCAAGAGGCACTGGGGAGAAGGTGCCACCCGCCCTCAGTGGGCCAGCCCTGAGTGGGGGCACGCATAGCCACTCAGGGTGCCACTGACTCATATGGGATAGAGATACAGCGTGGCCACCAACAGCACCCAGATGAACCCGCTCTGCGCACATGCGCACGGCATATATACACACATGCGCACACGCGCGCACATTTGCACATACACGGACATGAACCCTGGAGGAGGACAAAGTTCACAGCCCAAACCCAGCTTCTCAAAATCCCCTCTGAGGCCCCGGTAGGATTTCCAGAACCAACCCTGATAACTACACACAACTCACGGACAAGGCCGTAGCCCCTCCAGATGCCCCTGCACCTTGCCTGTCTTTTTTAACCTGAGTCTCCTTTCTCACCCTGAGCCCGAGTATAACAAATGACAAACCGGGTAGGGAGCAAATCTGGGAAGGAGCAAGAGCAGGCCATACAGACTCCCACACACACACGTGGGCCTTCTACATGGGCATCCCAAGAACACCAAGTTCTACCACCAGGTGTACGTGGCCCTTGGGTGCCCACAAGAGGGCAGTGGGGCCCCTGCTCCTGTCCCATGGGCCTTCAGAACCTCTCCAGGGAGCTGGTTTCTAACAACCTCCCTCTGCTCTCAAAGCCACAGTGGAGTAAAGGCCTGCACACACCCTGGACACACTCCCCGTGAAAGTCCAGTTCCCTGAAAATGGCTCCAGCAACAGGCCAGCTTGGAAAACCTGACCCAGAAATACAGAGTCCCAGGCCTGGCCCCTAACAGGGAATTCTATCTAGTAAAGGGGCGCCAGCAGGTGAAAGACTAGACCCACAAAGAGAGAGCAGGCAGAGGAGCACAAGGACCACAGTGGTCAGCAGAGAGGATTAGTGGGTGGGTAAGTGGAAGAGTGAGGGGTCGGAGGATGGGTGGGTGGATGGACATACGGATGAGTGGATGGAATGATGGAAGGATTGATGGACCGTTGTGATGATGAAAAACAGGAGTGGCTGACTATGTGAGCATCTGACACAGTTCCTACTTCCAGTTAACATGAAAGTTCTGTGCACTGGGACCCTGAGGACAGCAGGGCTGTCCGTACTGGAAGCCTTTACCTGTTGGTTGACTCTCCTCCCCCCAGTCACAGTTCTTAATAATGCAGTAGAACCCTCCGGTCACATATCCAGCCTTCGCTATCCCAGTCTCAGCCCAGAAACCATGCTGGCCTGGAGCTTTTTGAGGGTGTGTCTGGTCTTGTTCAAGCCTAGTACTCAGGTCAAATTTAGCCTAAGAACAGGAGCTCAGTAAGACGCTGTTAGAGGATTGAAGCCAAGGTGAACCTGGGCTCAGATCCTTCTTAGAGCTACAAAGAGAGAAAACCCTGTCGCCATGCTGGTTCTCTAACTAAAATCTCCTGAGAGAGATGGGTCTTGGGGGCATCTGAGGCACTGCAAGGATTCCAGCCCCTTCTCTGGAACCCTGCCTCCTGAACAAGCCTCTTCCCTAAGATAAAGAACCCCCATCACCACTGTCCCCACATCCCAAGGAGGCATAGAAAGTGAGGCCTTACGCCTGAGCCCCCATCCCCATGAATTTGGGTCTAGAAGGTCATCTGTGTCTTACAGAATGTCCGGAGTCATTTCCCTGTGTGCTACTGGACCAGTCACAAGACATCCTGGAGGAAGAGGCCCCGGGTGCTAGCCTGTGGCCCACCACAGTGACCTTCCTCACCCTCTTCCTACTGAGCCTGTTCTACAGTACAGCACTCACTATTACAACCGTGCGTGGCCCATTTGGCAGCAAAGAGGTCCCCCAGTACTGACCAGGAACCAGCCACGGGTGGCAGTCATGGAGACGGTGGGTTACAGGGTTGGGGCAGGGGGTGGGGCATTCAGGGTTTACTTGTCCCCTCTGCAGGTGGCCTTGCAGCCCTACACAGACATTAAGGAAAAGGGAGTAATTGATGACAGCACTCCCTGGATTTAACCCAGTCTTCCGCAATCCAGGGCCGGGACTAGGGCAAAAATGAAGACATAACCCAACTCCAGGAGCCCCTCTGGCTGAGCACTCTTGTCTTTGCAGGCACGACACCTGGAGAAGGTCCTCTACACTTCAGAACTAAGGCCTGTGTGACGGCTTCCCGCCCCCACTCACACACTCTCCTGAACAATAAAGCGATGCCAAGAAAGCACAATGTCTTACTCTCAAAGACAAACATCGACGAAGGACGGAAGGGGGTCAGAGAAAATGTGTGTGACCATGTTAAATTAGTGTGCTTACATCATAGAATGCGGGGGTGTTGAGCAGTGTAGACACAGGGTGCCCTTTGTCGAGCGTCTGAGACATAACTTGGACATACGTGTGGCTGAAGCCGGAGCTGAAGACTTGCTTCATCAAGCGTATTTGTGACCTCTTCAGACCTGATGCCAGGTCGTTAAGCTTGACCTCTGGACCTGATTTCTAAACACTTGGCCTCCGTGCTTTTCACCAAGGGTAGACAACCTTAATGAGCACTGAACACCAAACCCTGGTCCTGGTTGTAAACTGTGGTCCTGATCACTGAGCCCTAATTTTTGTAACTGAACCTTGATCCTGATGAGTGACCCACAATCATGACCATGAGGCCCTAGTCCTGACCATTGGTTCCTTGTCCTTATCCCTCATTCTACTTACTGGTCCCTCCCTGGTCCTGAACCCTGATCCCTGGTTCAGATCGCTGAATCCTAGCCCTGTTCTCAGATTACTGGTCCTCTTCACCTAGCCTAGTCCAGATCACTGAATCCTGGTCATGATCACTGGGTCTAGTCCTCATTACTGAGCCCTAGTCTTGATCACTGATCATTGGTCTTGATCATTAACAACTAAGCTAATCACTAGACCCTGTTCCTAATCTCTGGCCCATGGTACCAGTCACTGGGTCCTGAGCTGATCCCTGATCCTAATCACTAAGCCCTGTTTCTAAACAGTGTATAGTGAAATGTATAGTAAAGCTTTTGTGTCTGCTTTGAGTGAAATGTTTGAGCAAAGCCCTTGCTATGCTTGGGTTAATCAGTAGAGACTGAGAAATTGTTTTGAGGCTGTGTGAACCTTGAAGAAATGTTGTCTCCCTGCACTTGATGCTACATGAGAGCTTGCAGCTACACAAACCTTGGTCCTAAGACACTCCTGGCATAAATTTTGATTGTGGCTAGCCATGGTTGAAAGGGACTGAGATTTGGGGAAGTCGTCTGTTCTCTCAGGCAAAAGGGCAAGATAATTTTGGTAGTCAGAACCCTTCCCAGCCCCAATTAACCATGTATGATTGAATAAAGTAACTGGAGTGAGCTATCTGGGGTAAGTCTTTTTCAAGAAGACTGAAACCCTCTGCTACTTCAGAAAATAAAGGCTTAGCATCTTGGTGAGCTTCTTTCTACTGTTGTATCCAGGACCAAATCAGCGTTCCCTATTGCCAGACCCAGTACTTATAACTAGGTCTTCGTGATCTACTGGTTCCTGGTCCTCATCACTAAGCCCTAGTCCTCATCACTGAGCCCTGGCCCTCTTCACTGAGCCCTGGTCCTCTTCACCAAGCCCTGGCCCTCATCACTGAGCCCTGGTCCTCTTCACTGAGCCCTGTTCCTCTTCACTGAGCCCTGATCCTCATCACTGAGCTCTCCTCTTGAGCTGTAGGCTTAGGCTGATTACCAGACTGATATCTAATAGCTGGACGCTGGTTCTGGTCACTAGGTCTTTGTCCTGATCAAGGACATTTGACCCTAGTTCACAGCATTGGCTGGGGCTGGACACTGGGGGAGGATCCTGATCATTTGACTTTGTCCCACATCACTGAGTTCTGATCAAGGACCCTGGGCTCTGGTACTAGATACCGGGTCCTGGATCTAATAACTGGGTCATGTACTGATTAATGAGCCTTGGCTTCGTCATTGGGCCCTGGTCCTCAGCACTGACTTCTAAATCTGGACCCTAGCCCCAAATTCTGCTTACCAACCCTGGGCCTAGACTCAGGTTCTCAATTTACTCCCATTTGTCAGAGGCCCAAGTCTGCAGTGGTATTTTACAAGAAGTCCCTTCAGCCTCCTAAGCCTCAATGGCATTAGGGAGATCCCCGCATGGTCTGGGGAAGATGCCAGAGCCCCAACAACACTGTTCATACACTGGGCAGCAAGTGGCACAGTGGCCCTTTGCTCACCTGCCTTCCCAGGCTCAGATGGAGTGAATGGAAACAGAGCATGCCCAGGCCTGGAGAGCTGGAGCAGAGGCCCTGGGGTCTACAGACTGGGGTCAGCTCCGTGGAGGGGGTTTGCAGTACAGGTGTGGGGGCAGGGCAGGGGTAGCCATGTTTGTAGCTGTTGTTTTTCTCTCCTCTGAAGTCTCCCTTGTCTACCACTTGCTGTCCTGGGATCTTGGTATCCGGGATCAGCACTGTGGAGGGGGTTTGCAGTACAGGTGTGGGGGCAGGGCAGGGATGGTCCTGATAGTACTCATGTTTTTCTCTCTTCTGAAGTCTCTGTTGTCTATCACCTGCTGAAACACTCAAAATAGCCCTGAGAGCTGAGGGTAGCTGAGTCATCATGAACCTAGCTCAGCCAGGTGCCCCAAACCAGAGCGTGATTCTGAGAATCCCACAGCACCATAAACATGGCCAGGTGGGCCTGGGGCCTGGGTTGGGGCTAGAGCCAT